ATTCTATGATTCTATGAACATCTTAAGGCCTAGTTCTGGGGAGATCGTGCAGTGAGACCAGGCGCTTTCTGACAGATCTAGCTCAGGCTGGAGCTGCCTGCAGGAAATCTGGGGTCTCTGCTACACAGGTCATGCTAGACAATTGCAATGGTGGCTTCTGACCCTACATAGGATCTCCTTAAATCAGGGACATAGGAATTAACCTGATGTAGCCCATCTGTGGCACTAGTGATTGCTTCATGGAGGAGGCAGCTGAGAAGCAACCTGCCAATGGAGAACACCTAGATCCTGGTGTTCTCACATGGGTCAGCAAGACAGTGGAATCCATCAGCCCTGCTGTTGCTTAAATCCTAAAAACAGGTACTGGATATAATATGGAAAGAATTTGTTTGTTCTTACAATACTTTTATGAGAGGCTCTGCTATTGTGTAATCATGTAATTAGCCATGCATGAAAGCCCAAGGCAAAGCCTAATCCTAAATTTAGCAGTGGATGAAGGACTTGCTGCTGAGCCCGGGCTCACCCAGGTGGAAAAGCAGGTCTCAGCACAGGCTGGGTTTCCATCAGGCCACCTTCTGGGGGTTTCCAGGAGCAAAATGGCTGCAGGGTTGAGATAGAGGTGCTCCCCAATCCTGTTTTATTGTGCTGCTGTCAGAGAAAGCCACACAGCATGGCAGCTAATCTCCCAGGCCTTAGTCTCTCCAAGTGCAAAGCATGGAGATTACAGGCTGACTGACCTGCATGGAAAAGATGATGCAGGGAGCTCCCGGAGCCGCTGCAGTATTGGCAAGCTGGGAACCCCTCTGCAACTGCTGAGTTAGCATCAGCCCCATCCCTGAGTGCTTAGAGAAACACAGGAAAGAGAGGGTAGACCTCACTGTAGAGTATTAATGACCTAAAAATGTTCATTTTTTCTTTGTCCTTGAAAAATAAAAAACAATTTAAGATAAATTTACTATTGAAAGATGGAGCATAACCTGAAGGACCTATAATGGCAGTCCTATATGGCAGAGGCCTTGGTCCCCTTCTACCTGGTGAAGAGGAGAGCTGGGGGCAGTTCAAGTGTCTTAACACCTCATACCAAGCACCTTTCCTTAAGCCTATCTGGTGTTTAGTTGTCACAAAACAGCATGCTAGAGAGAATAATTGAGAATTAAAATTGCTTGTTCTGCCCCATAGCAAAAATGCATTGCCTGCCATCACTTTGGCTATGAAGCGATGAAGCAGAAACTTTCCCTATAATGAACGCACTGTGCCTCCACCTCCATGCACCCCAGGCTTACTCCTTAGTGATTCACCCTCTTTGAGGGCTGCAGTGTGCAAAAAGCTGGAGCCAGAGTTCGGTGGTGGAGGACCTACCTGCTCTCTGGGGCTGCACAACCTAATGAGAGCCCTGTTTATCCCACTGGGTTCTTACACTGCAGTCACCATTGGCAGCTGAGCACATGGCAAGCGAGCAAAAAGCTCATCTGCTGGGAACTGACTGCTTCCGCTTCTGCGGAGATGGGATAGTATGAAATTCTCTGTGAGAGCTGTTTTAGATGACTCTCTTCTGGGGGGAGGAGAATGGGTTATTGACTACAGCAGTGGGCCTTGTAGGTGGCCAAGCAGAAAGCATGGATGCCCTGAGGACGAGAGGCTGGAGGGCTGCCCTAACATGCATGAAAAAATATCCTGGTGTCCTTGGGTGGTGGTATCACCCCTGCTGCTCTTGCAGGAGACTCAGGCAATTCTGGTGTAGTTTTGTCCTTTATTCCTCTACTTGAAAAATATCTGATATTTTCTCAGTAACCTCTCTGGGGTCCCCATTATAGATACCAGAAGACTTGATCCCCCTCTCGTGCATAAGAGAACAAGCCTTCCTATTGATAGGAAGCCAAGCTCACTGTGAGCCCACCTATCGGTGACTTCAAACCATCTTTCCAACTGTCATTCCACAGTAACTTTGACTAACTGTACTATTTATTGGCTCACATCACATACTTATGGCTTCAATTTATTTTTGGAAAACTCAACCCACATTTAATTAGTTTATAGTTTGTTCCAAGTTTTGCTTATCCAGCTTTTTTTTTGTCTTTTTTTTTTTAAGTTTGTATTTTGATGTTTAGCATTTGCCTTGAATGGAATCTTGAATGGAATCTGGAACCCCTTTATGGAAGTGTATTGTTACTTTTACTGCTCGTGCAGCTTTATTAAATCATCCAACTATTAATATTGAAAGTGTTCATCTGGGTCTAATCAGGGCCAAGATGAGTGATGTGGCAGTTAAATTGCACCTACCAGCTAATGGTTCAAGGACACAAAGTCCTGAAGGAACTTGCAGTGGGCTTTGTGCTCTTCTTTTTAGCTTCCTAGGAGAAGTAATGGGGGAAAAAGCAGGTATTCCTGCTCTGACTTTTCTTTCAGAGCAGATAACAAAACTGCAGCCTGAGCTAGTTTAGAACCATTTGTCTCCAAAGAATTTTGTCTGGTTACCACAATATTTCTGGATCTTCTTTCCATATTTAACTCTTTCCTCTGCCCTGGCTTCCCCCCTTCGCAGAGCAAACAACTGTCAAGTCAAGATCCCCACCACACGAACCACTACAAAACTGCCAGAGCTGACATTTTGCTCTGAGACCTAAAGTAAATCCTCGAGATAAGTAACAGAGCAAGTGGGTGTAAAACAACAAACTCCATCACTCTTCTGCACCAGTGACATCTACAGACTGGATTTATACATTTCTTCTCCTCTCCAGGGCCTCCACATATCCCTGGGATGATGGTGCTGAGCCCATGGTCCTGCATGAGCAGGAATCGGGGAATGAACAGGTTGAGATGAAGGGGTGAAAGAAGAAATATGGTGGCATCACCAGAGCACAGCCTGGGTGTAGTAGGGCTGGGTTTTGGGGAAAGAAACCGAGTTACCTTCAATTCTCTGTTCCCACGTACTAACACTGATAGAGTCTGTAGAGCGCAGTGGCTGTCACTGTGGATCGGTAGCCCCATGCAAATACTGGGCTTAATTTCTGATCCACCTCCAAAACTCTTATCCTTGAGAGAAGTTTTGCCCAGGACCCTTTGAGTCTTCCCCTGGCAGAGAGAGACAGGGAGATGTGGGTAGCTTGTGCTGGCTGCAATTGCTTCAAATCCCAAATTGCTTCAAATCCCAAAAATGGTTGAAGTCACCATTTCAGTAGCTAACCCTTCAACAGATGGGAAACATTGGATTTGTTGAGGTAACCCACAAAATCCCTAGGTGCCTCGGCAAAACAGAGCAGCCCAATGGGAAGGTGGGATGCTGTGCAAGAGGTAGTGGGCAGCATCCTCGCTTGCTCTGCTCCAGGCTCCCCCCTGTACCTTGCACAACATAATCCCTGCTGAGCTGCATTTTAAGCCTCACATGGGTCATTTAAAACAAAATTTCCTCCTTCCAGCTTTCAGGTGCAACAGGCTTTTCTTCTGCAGCCAGGTTCCCCCTCTGCTGTTAACTTTGGCCCTACATAGGAGGCAGTGGGAGCTTGTAAATGGTTTAATTTTGTGCGGGCACCTTCCAGCTGTGATCTATGGCTGTCACATGGAGGAGGGGGTCTGGGACAACAAGGGAAGCTGAGCAGGGCCATGAGATGCTCTCAGAGCAGGCTGTGAGCTCTGAACTTGAGAAGCAAGGAAGCTAAAATGCCCTTTTTGCCACTGGGACAGTATATGAGTTAAAAAGGGACCATAGGCTTGGCCATTGGCCACAGGCAGGTCACAGGTATGACCATGAAGAATGCAGGAGGTGCCGCAGGGCGTGCTCCTGTATCAGCAGAGCCTTGCTTGCAGGACTGATGCTTTGCAAGCCACAGCCAAGGATCTCTCAATTTGTTTCTTATACAAACTAATACAGGTGATGGAAAAGCCCTGTGACAGCTGTTGCAGAACAGTGATCCATGACTGTCCCTTTCACAGGGGCTGGGAGCACTCAGTGCTGATGGACTCCAGCAGTAGAGAAACACAGATGGTTCAAACCTTCAAAAAATTAACTGCTGAGTTCAAGTTCCTACCTGAAAACTCTGGAGTGTGTTTACTCTGGAGTGTGTTTAAATGAAAATGTATAAATATATATTTGAACACAAGCCACTTAGTGGCTTCTTTTTTATATATATATATGTAGAAAAAGACATTCAGCAGCCTTAAAACAGGAAGTTTAAATTTAGCTGGGATTTATCCCTTAGCTGAGTATAGTTCATTCACCCTTTGTATAAAAATAGAGATAATTTTATGCCCGTGAGATACATGCAGAGCAGCTCCACACAGGCAGCAGCTATTCCTGCCACTGCAGCCAGATCTGCTACTCTAGGGGCAGGAGAGCATCTCATGTTGGGCCACGGCAGGGCAGGCAGCAAAGCCATGGAGGCAGCAGTCCCTGTTGCCCCAGAACTCAGTAAGTATCAGCCCATGGTTTATTGCCAAAAACAGATGCTTGGGGAGCAAGCGGCAAACGTGTTTCCTGGCTTGGGCTCATTGAACAGGCAGAGGGAGGATGAGGAGGCAGCAGGAAAGGAGGAAGCTACCACAGCCTGGTCATGCACTCCCCGAGGGAAGGGAATAAACAAAGACTTCAGGCATGCAGAGAACTAGAGATGTCCCTTTTCAGATGTGGTATGAACTCAGGATGAGGAGAGGCACTGATTTCAGCCTGGGTTGTAGAGGAAGAAATAAACTTGCCCTTGATGATAAATAGTACGGGAAACACAGCGGGAAAATGTGGTTCTTTGTGGCCTCCCAGGCTCTGCAAAGCTGTCACCCATCAGGACCTGCCTCCACACTGCCAGCATCCCTCTATCTCCTCTAGGCTTCTTCGGCATCATCTAAAGCACATTTGACCAAGCAATGGAGCAAAATCAAAGCTATAAAAAATATGGTCAATTCGGGCTTCTTCACCACTGGTGTGGAAATCGCTGAGAACAGTGGTTACTTTTCCCCACTCCAGGCAAGCATGGCCACACTCACCCTCCACCACCTCTCTGCCCCTGCAGCCTGCAGTGTCAGTGCTCGCCGCAGCCTGAAGACCAACCTGTGCAAGTGGTGTGACTCCACGCCACCAGCCTGCGAGGAGAAGGTGTGCTACAGCAACTGCAACCTCAACTCCTACTGTGAGGACCCCTATGAGATCTGCGTGGCCATATGGTAAGTGGCAATTCCCTTGTCCAGGTGGGACTTGAGTGAAAAAGGGGTTCGCTGCTCAGCAACTCATGGGAACACACATGTATGTACCCCTACACTTGAATTATTGCCCATTAGAATAATTTCGGACTTTCTCTTCCTCTCCCTTTGACTCTATTATAATTAAAACTACAATTCACAGTAAATAAAAAAACAAAACAAACCAAACCATTGGTCTGCCCTATACTTAGTACCTGCTTATTTTCTAAATAAATTAAGCATTTAAGTGCCTGACATGGAGTGTGGCAAGTTTGCTCCTGGACCTCTAAAGCCCCATAACCCCCTGAATTTAGCTTTACAAGCTGAACCCAAGGGCAAAACCAGCACCCCTGACGCCCAAAACCATTATGTCCTCCCTCATCAGGCTGGTGAAACCATGGCTCATGCACAGGGGTGCAGCCAAGGCTGTCTCTGTCCAGCACATGGATGTCTGAGCTGGTACCAAAGTGGGGTTTAACCCACTGGGTATAACTCACGTCCTTCCCATCCCCTGGGAAAAGCCCTTTTCTGCTTCTGCAGGAGATACCTGGGAGGGAAACGCAATCTTGCATTTCAGACCATGCATCCGCCACACCATTTGGCCCGGAAGAGAGCCTCCTCCAGCTTTTTGGTCCCCATGAGCAAAACAAACAAACATCCATTTTGGGTCTGCCCAGAGTGATTTTCCTCCTCTTTCCCTTTTAATTTGGCTGCCAAAGTGAAAGCCAGCCAAGCACTTATCACTAGGCTTTATCTCAACCTGCTAATTAGCATGAATGCTGTATGCTCCACTTCCCGGAGGAGTTTGCCTCAACGTAATTGTTGCATTATGGACTTTAAAAGAAAACAAATCACAAACCCAACAAGAAATCCAAACAAGCAAACAAAATCCACCCCCTGCCCTAAATTCCCCTACACACACGGAGAAGCCACCTTAAACCCTGGGTAGGCAATCCAGCACCTTGCTCAATTTTCTCATTGACAGCCTACATGTACAGGAAAAAGCAAGTCCCCCACAGCATAAATCCCCATGCCAGGGAAGCAGTCCCACTGCACAGGATGGCGCTGCACTGTGCATCATGTATTGGATGGGGTGAAGCAGCTGTGGGGTCACAAATAACCTGCCAGCCCTGTAACCTCCTCCCAGCATCTCCCACCCCATTTTAAGATTAAGATCCCTGCAGTCAGGGCTCACCTCCAGGCCAGCCTTGCTTCTCACTGCTCATTTGCAGAGGCATATTTGGATCATATGAATTTGTCTTCTGTGGATATCAGTCATAGGTCCCATGCTCATAAGCAGTGTGCTCATGTCCTGCAGCATGCCCAGCCTGAGCAGCCCACAGAGGAGGTGCTGGAAGCTCCTCTTACAAATTACCTGGAAACCCAAACAAATGTGAGGAGCACTGAAGCTGGGGGACTTCATCAGGGAGAGGACGACAAATCAGGGTTCTTCCCTCAGCTCTTATGGCTGATTTCCCAGCTGACCTCGAAGGCATTGTGAAACCTCTTCATACCCTCACCTTCCTGCTTTGCACTACTAGGTTGGGAAGCAGAGGCTGTCCCTTGAAAAGTAACTAATGGTTGTAATTTCCTTTGAGTGGTCCCAGGAGTAGCTGCAATGCTTTCTAGCTGCCTGTAGCCCCTGTAGGGCCTGTCATTCCCCATCACACATCCTCACCCAGGGCTGTCCTTCAAACCCAGCCAGTGCTGGGTTATCCTGCCTCCTCTGGGAAAGGCTCCAGAAGCAAGGACCAAACCCTAATGCTCTTCTCCCAGCTCTTAATTACCCACTGACTCTACAAGGCAGGTGCTGATCCTCCCCATAGAAGGGCTGCATCCCAGGTGCATTTCTCTGATGGTGCCTGCAGGGCAGGAGCCAACTGTCCCCACACTGCACGGTATGCCTTGCATGCCGTGCCAGCAGCCCACACTAGCTCCAATCTGGCCCTCCAGGGGTGAGAGGCTCCGTGGTGACGCCAACAACTGCTTCCTAATCCCATTTCCAAGCTCCAGCTCCTTTCAAATGCCATTATCTGCCCCCAAAAAGGACATTCCTGAGCCTACCTGGGCATCTCAGTTTTTGAGAATCACTTTCCTCACCCAGCTTGGTTAACAGTGGTTGGAGATGAAGCCACGGGTCCAGCAAGGACAACTCCGCCATACACCAAAAGAAGGGAGCTCCCAGCACTGGGATGTGGCTGTGCTGGATCCTCTAGCCAAGCCACCTCATCAACATCATTGACCAGCGTTGCCTGAATCCACTTGGAGAGCTGAGGTTTTCTAGCAAAACAAGCACCCTGTGCTTGAGGAATCAGACAACAGCCAGAGCCAAAGCCATCCTTTTGCTCTGCATGTGACACTTTTCCAAAGCTTTAATGGGAACCCAACCTAGGTGCTGCTGAGCAAAAACTGTGACATGTGAGAAGGACATAACTAACAATGCTCAGCAGCCAGACTAAGAAAAAGCTCTAAGGACATCATCACTCTGGAGCTAGACCTGATGCTGTGAGCCACATTTCAGTGAGTAACTGGAGTTTCATGAACAAGATATTTTGGTAATAAGCCTTGAAATATTTCACCTGTTCTCACTGTATTTGCTGAGTGTCTGTGCACAGTCAAATGCATCACAAGCACAGGGGTATTTTGCATCTCCACTTCAGAAAGGGAAAAAAGTCTCTTCAGAAGTCTTCACCCTGCTGGCTCTGTCTCTCAGCCAATGGGAGGGACATCTCGGTCTTCCCTGGGTGATGTTATGATCATCTCTGACACAGGGGGTGTTAGATGGACCTCAGGAAATACACAATGATTGAAACAAAAAGGGGGAAAAATAACCCCCAAACCCAGCAGGTCTGTCCTTTCCTTTTGAAAAGAACAAATTCCCTAGAAATGCCAAGAAATTACACTTTTACCTGCATCTTAATTACCTAAATGGAAACAAGGAGGAGCTAAGGTTTATTTGCATCCCTAGCGCTCTGCAGTCCCAGACACAGTGAAGACTGGGACATCACCAGGTTTCATTTGTACTTGCTCAGTGTCTCAGGCCATGGCATAAATGCAGACAGAGCCCCGTGGTTGGGGAATTGTATCGCGTTCACGTTATAATTTGGTAGCTCCAAAGGTCAAGCCATTTCTAGAAATAGCCCCAACCGGCAACTGAAGGGCTCTACTGCCGCAGGTTGCTGGAGGCAGGAGCAAATGGTCCTGCAATGACAGGGCATGACAACCAGCAATTAGTCCAGAGAGAACCCGGGGTGAGATGGCTTTTACCCATTCCACCTGCGCACACAGGTTGAGGGAAGCAGAAGGGAGCACCAGCCAAGTGGTCACTGGTAGGCAGGCATTTTGGCCCTCACATTTCCCCAGTAGAAGTGAAATTTGGGCGGTAGAGACTCCAACCCCTGCTGAGGCAGAGATGTTACAGCTTGTATCGCAACAGAAGTGACATACAAGGTAGGACCCTCATTTTGGAAGGTTGTCATAGGATCATGCAGCCCCAAACCTGCTGGCCTAGCACTTGGTGCTAGTAAAAGAGAAATTTTGCCCTGGGGCACTCAGCCTTAGGGTTGGCACTACCCAATCCAAGGTGTGATTATGAACTGGTGAATTCTACTGGAAACAATCAGAGCTTCTGGCTCACATCCTACTATTGGCATGAGCTAAACATTTCTCTTCTCAATATTTGGAAGAGACAAAGAGCTTTAACAAAGCCCCTCCAAAGCATGTGTAATTAAAACTATACCAGAACCACTGCAAACAAGTCATCCCCTACACAGATTTGCTTAAAACAAATGATCTTAAACCCAGGTTTAAGATGACATGCAGGTGACACAAAGGCTGAACAGCAGACTAATGTTTTGTTGGTTCATTTGGCACATGCAGGAGACAGGACAACGAGAGCATCAGGATCAGCACGCTCTGCCACAACCCCCACCGCCCCATTGAAAACCTCATGGTCCCCAACTACAATACCTCGCACTGCATCATGACCCATCAGCCCAGTGAGGAAGGGATCATCTACATCTGTGGCTGCGTAGACGAGCAGGAGTGCAACGATAAACTCATCTTTGAAAACCACACCAATGGCAAGTACTTTTGTTAATGTTATTTATGGGGGGAGAAGCACCCAACGCTAATGACAACTTGTATTTCCAACAGAGTAGGAAGTGTGATGCCAGAAAGACCTCTTTCAGTATTTTCTTTGACCTCCTTTTGTGAAAACTAGGTAAAATTTTTACCCCGTTCCTGAGCCCAGTATTTTGGATGTGGCTAAACCATCCCCCCAGCAATGCCTCCAGCCTTGGCCTGGAAACATCAGGTGATGGAAAATCCACTGTATCTCTCAGTAGGCTGTGCCCTTCAGTGCAAGGCGAATCAGCCGGGGAACCTGAAAGCTGACGCAACCCAGCGTGAGTCAATGCTCTGAAAGCTTTAAATAAATCCTGTTGGAGCAAATCCTGCCCGGCACACCCACAGGAACTGCTGGTGTCTGCCATGGCTGCAACCCAAAAAGGTGGACAGAGCCGCCCTGGTGCTGCACACACACGTAAGCACGGCCTGGCACACTCGTAGATGCTTTTGCAGATGGCTGGAGATCCAACAGGAGCTGTAAATCCACACAAGGGAAAACTAAAAGGCAGCTCATTTCTGTACCTTAGGAGGGTCGTATACTTTGGACATGCTTTCAGCAAGATCCTGAGCCTCTGGGGGTTTGTCCAAGCCTCCCTAACTCCAAATGGATGAGGTTTATCTAAGTGCCCATCAGGAATCTGACCTGTAACAAAAGCAAAGTGAAACCCCTCCAATTTTCCATAATTACAGAACAATGAGATGCTGAAAATGAGCCTAAGCAGACCCTGCAAGTCTGCGGCATAACTTCTCCTGCAATGCAAGGAAAAAAGTAAAAATCACATAAAATGCAAATTCTCAGAACAAACAAGCCACTCTTAATGAAGGCAATGATGCTAAATTTGGCAGTTCTTTGCTGCTTCCTGAGCCAAACATAACAGGTACACACACTTCTAAGGAAAGATAGTCAAATCCCAGAGCCTATGCTGGGATATATAATTTCACACAGAAATGACAACTGGCTCATTGGAAATGCCACCCCCTCCGAAGGCTTGCACAAACAGCCGCCTCCTCCCAGCCGGCACGCGAAGTGCTGCGAGAGCAGTGCAGGCCTTAAGCAATTATCTCCTCCTGGTGTGGTTTGTGGGGCCAGCTTGGCAAGCCCCACACTCAGAGACTCCAGCATTTACATCCTTTTTGTCTGCTTTAAGGGATCATTTGCATCTTAAATATTAACTTAGGGTCATCTTCAGCGGTACAGACAACTGCTGAGCAGAGAAATATCCAATACAGATGAGCACTTCTCCGGCAGCTGAAGCAGGCAGATTGTTTTCCCATTTCCCTATTTCTTAAGCCCTGCTTCTATATTTGGGCTGCTGGGTGGCACGGCCCTAGCACCAGGGCTGCAGGGGACCGCATCAGAACTCAGAGACCACCCTAACGAACATGCCAAAGCACCATCTCCTAAAGCCATACAAGCAGAAGCCTGGTGGACACCTTGAGATGCTGGGTAGGGTTGAGCATGCAGAGACCTCTTCACCCCTGCACCAGCTCAGCCTAGCACTGGAGGTCCATCTCCCCTCAGCAGGGATGGAAAAACCCACGCAGCAGTGCTCAACAAAGCATGGGTTTCTAGACCTGTGGTAATCATCAGAGCAACTATCTTTGTTCTCTGTAAAAGGAGTCAAGCCATGCTGCAACCCCTCCCTATCAAAGGGCTGTGCATCAGGAAGAGACATCCTCATGAAGGAATTTGCTGAAGTTGTTTTAACTTCCCCTTTTCGGGTCTCGTGCATGCAACTCCCTTAAAAACATCTTCTATTTCTTTAGAGTTTCAAAGATGGGATCTTAAGTATTGGGTAAATCCATCGAAGCAGTAGGTGATATCCAGGCGTAATGCTTTCCAAGATAAACATATTCCTGAGTTAGTTATTGATTTATATCAGTTTAGGTTGATCTTGTGGTTTAAACCTGATGCCTGTTTTAGAAACGCTTTCACAGCCTTGCAGAAATTAGCTGCAGCACATTTTTTTGAAATTTGCCAAGGAAAATAGCTAAACGCTCTGTTTTTCCAGAACCTGAATTATGATCTGCACACACTGAGGTCAAGCAGCGAGAGTTCTGCTTATGGAATGATTCTTATCCCTCTTCCCCTGGGTTATTATACTTGGCAGAAAAACCTCTGACTAAGATTTTACTTGAATATCTCTACTGAAGTCAGCATGTTTATTCCAGGAATTGCGAACATCAAAAGATCGAACAATTATATGTTGTGCGAGGGTTATGGCTTTGTGTGTGTGTGCCCTCCTCCCCCCCAAAATGATCTGAAGGTTGACAGGGGTTTAAAAGAAATGAAACAAAAGCAGCCATGCCTGGTCGGTTGAAGGGGATTGGCGGTGTAATATGGCAAGGAAGGAGATGCCAACACTGGCAAACAGCACCGCAGTAATGCTCCTTTACGTTAATTATTGTGCAAAGCATCCCATGCTCCCCTGGGCTTGGGGGTCCTGTGCACTCCCAGGCCTCAGCATCACCCCTGGCTCTCTGTGCACCACAGGGGTCCAGCAAGGCTCCGACAACAAAACCTCTCATAGATTTCCTCTGTTTGAGCTTTACCTCAGCTTTATCACTGCTATTTCTGCCTCAATTCCCCTTGCTGTGAGCACAAGCGTCACTTAGAAGCCACCAAAAGGCAACTGAGCCATTTTGGCAATGGCAGCAGGGTCTCCCATGCTGCACTGCCCAGCCCAAGTAATGCTGGCCTGCATCCTGCCCTTCACTTGATATACAGAGCTAAATTTGTGACCTAACAGCCTACTTCTTTGTCAGGATGGGTTTGTGTGCAGCATGCATTGTAGCCCTGCAAAGGGCTGCGCTTCGTTAATAGCTTCACCTATTTTCCTCCTCTTCATGATGAAAAGGAGCTGTTGCAGACCCATGGTGGCAACATCCTCACCTTTGCTCTCCTCCTCCCCTCAGGCTACTCCATGCTGCAGAGCAAAGAGGTGATCCCAGTGGCCGCCATCAGCCTCCTGCCCCCACTGCTGGTGGCGGTGATGATCACGGTGATATTTTACCTCTGCCGCACACAGAAGCGGCGCAAGAGAACCAAGGCATGGGGTGGGAAACCGGGACAGCCCCCGGCACTGCTGGAGGCAGGGAGGTCTGCTGAGCGGGAGGAGAAGTTGTCCGTGCTGATGGATGAGAGCCCAACCAGCGCCAACCCTACCTGTGCCAGCAGCCGCCCCGCTGAGCTGCTCCCCATCGAGCTGGATGAGATGGTGGGCAAAGGTCAGTTCGCGGAGGTGTGGAGGGCCAAGCTGAGCCATAGCCGCTCAGGGCAGTACGAAACAGTGGCCGTGAAGATCTTCCCCTGTGAGGAGTACTCCTCCTGGAAGAATGAGAGTCAGATCTTCACTGACACCAGCCTCAAGCATGACAGTGTCCTGCGGTTCCTCACTGCTGAGGACCGGGGCATGGGGCCCCGCCGTGAGTACTGGCTCATCACTGCTTACCACAGCCGGGGCAACCTCAAGGACTACCTCTCCCACCACATCCTGAGCTGGATGGACCTGCAGAAGATGGCAGGCTCCCTGGTGAGTGGGGTGGCTCACCTCCACAGTGATTACACCGCCTGCGGCAGGCCGAAAATCCCCATCGCCCACAGGGACATCAAAAGCACAAATGTCCTGGTGAAGAATGAGCAGGAGTGCGTGCTCTGTGACTTTGGCATTGCCATACGCCTTGACCCTTCCCTGACGGTGGATGACTTTGCCAACAGTGGGCAGGCAAGTACGGTCCCCTGGAGAAGAACGTTTGCAAAGCTACCCTCTTTGCCCCTGGGTCAAAGCCCTTGCCCACCCCTGCTAATGCCTCTCTCCTCTTTGTGGGCAGGTGGGCACCGCCAGGTACATGGCCCCAGAGGTCCTGGAGTCCAGAGTGAACCTGGAAGACTTGGAGTCTTTCAAGCAGATGGATGTCTACTCTATGGCCCTTGTTCTGTGGGAAATGGCTTCCAGATGTGAAGTGGTAGGAGGTAGGAGCATCACACTGGGGTTTCCACACACCTTTTTGCTCCCTTTCTCCACATACAGAGATGTGGCTCACCCCCATGTCCCCACCAATGGCATGAGATCTGGTCTGGGGTGGCTCGGGTCTCTGCAGGACTTCTAAGAGCTGATGGCAAATCCTCCCCCATAGCTGTCTTCCCTGTGTGCCATGACTTGAGGGGGCTGGCTCAGTGGGAAAGAAGCAGGATGGGACCCTAGGGGGTCATCTGGTCCAGCCCCTGCTCAGAGCCGGCTGGCCACCAAGTCACATCTGAGCCAGTGCCAGCAATCCAAAGCAAACCAAGCAGGAGGAGCCAAAGGTGCCTCCCCCTCCCTGGCCACAAGCACTTTTCTTTCAGAAAACACAAGAGTTTATATTGCAAGGAGGACTCACAAACTCCAGCCTCTGACAGAGCCACAGCCTGGCATCTGAACTCACATGTAGCAAAACATTTAACTAACTGCCCTGCTGTTAGCTCCCACCTGCCCTTCTGCCTGCTCCCCTTTCCTTTTTAGCTCTCTCCAGTTCCTTCCCTACCCCACCTACTTGCAATACAGGCCCATGGACCTGCAGGAAGCTCCAGACCTTGGGGAGATAGCTGCCCCAGCTGCCCTGCATGCCCCATGCTTTGCAGTGGGAGACCCTTGCCTGGCTCAGATACTCCATGCATCTTTTGCTCCTGAGCCAGTGTCCTGGACAATTCCCTTCCCACTCTCATTTCACCTACATTTGCATCCCGGCAGGAGCTGGCAGAAAAGAGGATAGCCTCTCATTTCTGCAACAGGGAGCTTCTCCGTGGCCTCCCAAGACATGGGATTGCTCTTCAGGAAGGGCCATTTCCCTTCTAGCTTGATCCATGCCTACAGCAGGAATCTGGATGCTGGTACTGTAGTCATCTCTCCAATCTTTCACCAGCACAACACATTTTTAGAGTTCAAAATATGTCTCAAAGACAGACCAAGACCTTTGTAGCGTGACTCTTGGGTTCTGGAAGGTGGTCGGATGCTTCCTCGATCCTGTATCTAAAAACAAACTCTACATGAAAACCCAGCACTATGTTCCTGTGTTCAGATTCTAAATTGTTTCCAGATCTGTTTATTTTTGCAGACTGATAAAAACAAATTTATTCTCATCTGGTGGACCATACCAAAGCAAAGCAGTGAATCCATTAAAAGCATCCTGTAATGCAGATCTTGCTTCCTTGCAGAGGTAAAGAATTACGAGCTGCCTTTTGGATCTAAAGTCCAGGAGCAGCCCTGCGTGGACACCATGAGGGACATTGTGCTGCATGGCAGAGGGCGACCCGAGATCCCGAGCAGCTGGCTAGTGCATCAGGTAAGGTGGGATTAGCTGGTTCAGAAAAAAAGCTGCCCACATTGCACCACTTCAATAAACCAGCCTGAAAAATGACTGAAGTTGTAATCAAAGCAAAAGCAGGCAGAACTCCTGGGCCCCACTTCCAGCTCCATTTGGGCTTACCTGCGTAAGCCCCACTACACCCATTTCCCTGGGGTATAAAAGACACCAGCCACAGGTACAGCAAAATTTACTGATCAATAGCCACAATTAGAAAGTGTTACGAATGCCAAGTAACGTTATCCTGAAGATAACTGCAAAATGGAGCACTTTGGTGAAGAATCTTCTCATGAAAGAGTGAATCACTTGAATCCACCCCACTTCTCCCCTAAGCACCGTATCCAGAAAGCTCTAGCTCAGAAAACATGCAGTCCCTCACACAAAACCATCTCCCAGCGGGGACAGAGGGGAGGAAGGTGCATCCAGCCTTCTGCCTGCTTGGCTGGGAGGGTTTCAAGCTCAAGCTCATGACAGGTCATGACTTGGCATGTGAGAAGAAAGCCTTCCACTTCTACAAGCAAAGGCAAAACTGGAAGCATCTCCCACAGGTGAAACAGCCAGGAAACACACATGAAGCTAAGAGCAGGGAACCTGCTAGGTTCAAGTCTTGCCAAGGGGAAGTCTTACAGCAGCAACAAGATGTGCTCTATTAAAACCATCCACAAGCACACCCAGACCAGCCAGCTCCAGAAACATAGCTTTCTCCTGGCCCTGACAAGTCCTCTCTTCCCCATGTCCAGTACTTTCTTCCAGCCATTTGGGACACAGGGGTAACAGGCACACTGACTGCAATTTCCTAATCTTCCCAACTTTAGTACTGCTTAAATCTCATGTCCTGTGGAAAAACACCATACACTGATCAGCAGTTCAGCGCATCTGAATACCAAGCTGAAACATTGAGCCTGCTGGCTCACATAGCCTTGCAGCATTCAGTGCTTCATTTTGCAGTGTCCACCCGTAAAACAGACTGCTGCTGCTTCCACTCTGCCCGTGTTGCACATAAAGCCTAGCTTTTCAAAAGGAAAGATGCAACTTCATGATCTTAGGAGGCCACGTGTTCCCTACAATATCTCCTCCCAAAACTGTTAGTTCAAAGACCCACAGCTGACCTGACTGACTAAAGCCGCAAACAGCATCAAATGAATCTGCGGTTTTTGCTGGGCCACCAGTGAGTTTGTCAGTCTGAATTTCACCTGACCTTTTCCCTTGATGAAGGCAAATACAGGAACTTCAATCAGCACTGCTACAGCCTTCGAGTATTCATCTTGGACATTCACCTCCCAAGGTCTCTGATAAATTTTGAAACCACAGGAAAAATACAGTGCCTGGGTTGTCAAAAAGCACATTCTGATAGTGCCTGACCCTAACTGTGCCATTTGCTGAGCTGAAGAAAGGCTGACTGCAGTCTCCACTGAGAAATAACGTTGCTGTAGTTGGGTTGGTCTAGCACATAAACAGAGCAAGGCTTTAAGGTAGTAACTTTCATGAGACCACCTGATGTTCACTAGGGAAGAGGAACAGAAAAGCTACATTGTGCTCCTGAAAGCCTGCCTCTGACTAATCTTAGGTGACCTAACAAACATCTCCTTACAATCCTGGCTTTACATGGTTTTCCGCGCATTTTGCAACTGGTCTCCCCAGGATCAGGCATGGGGCAGCACCATCTGCTGGGAAGCAGCAGAAAGCCACCGCTCTGTCACTCCTGAGGTCAATGGCTTCATGTGAGAGGGAGCACTGGGTGACACCAAGAAAGGCTGACATCAAGAAAGGGTGACAAATTGCTCACCTGAAGGGGAAGCTCCCACAGATGTTACCACCAACAAAAATAAGTTTGATGCAGAGCACCAAATGCTAGTTCCACATTTCAACCATCAGAATCACTCTCAGACAAATTAGGACCTACATTGTTGGGCACGGTTTAAGATTTTCAGCAAAAATAAGCATTAATCCCCCCAACAGAGCTGACTCACCCAGCTTGCTCCCCATCAGCAGCTCCAGGGCAACTGCTTGCAAGGCTGCACAATAAAACTAACTGAAGAAATGCATCTCCAAAGTTCTCCCAGATAACTTATGAACACCTTAAGCCCATGCTTCTACCTCGCTTCCCACCCCATCACACTGAAATTAAAAAAAAAAACCAAAAGTGATTATTTAGGCCAGGTAAGTTCCTGGATCTGGTTCATGAAACAGCTGAATAGACTCTTGTACCGGCACAACCGAAGGGCTGGTGTAGGACAAGAAGGAGCAGTGGGAGCTTAAGTCAATATTGCGCTAAAAATACTCTTGTAAAACTCAGCATTCTTTGGAATGTTGGAAAATCTGAGATATTGAATATAAACCCCAAACTAAGTCCACTTTGTGAGCAAATCAAGACATTCCAGTTGTACCATTCAAAAGAGCACCATTGTTACTTACAAGGCAAACTGAAAATAGATGTCATGACTTCAAGGCAAAATAAGCAAAGGATACCTAATGACTAAACCATATGACAGTGCCATGTTCTGTTTGAGAAAAGGCTTATTTTAAAAGCTTCAGCTAAGCTAGCTCATTTTTGCATTTTAATCAATTACCCTCAAATCCTTCCAACTAAGCTAATAAATGAGTGATGCAAGATTTACTGAAACACACCATCTGTCAGTTTTACTGCATAATCCTGTTCTCCTTAATCCATACCCATTACAGAAGACTTAGTATAGCGACCCTTAGCACAGAGCAGTGAGTTCAGACTAAAGTGCAGGACAGAGGACATGAACAGTACATCTCTGTAGGACTTGCATTTTTCTCGTGTCGGTCCACATGAGACTTTCAGGTTGTCTTAATTACAAATTAAGAAATACACAAAAACCACCGAATAACATGAAGCTCTGCTTAGAATAATGATTTTACCATTGTGTTGCCAATGATGCAAAAAGCAGTAGCACGCGATAGGAATTATATAGGCAAAAAGCTTCAACATAGCTGTGTTACTAGCTTAAGAGTGGGAAAATACCAGCTGAATTTTGTTTCTAAGGCCAAAATATTGGCACCCCCTTCACAAAACTACACAGTTGGAAGAAAATATATTATTGGGAGACATAGCCATTGTAACTGAGAGGAACTGAATGTGTTCTGGAGCATACTGAGAAGTATCTGATCCTACCTAAACCAAGACACTATTCATGGTGAGAAAAACAAAGTCCAGCTGCACTCTGCTATGAGTATTTGGCACAGCGCACCCTCTCAGAAAGCTGCTAAAAAGAGAAGTCATGTTGATGAAGTCTAATTCCAATCTTGCCTTTGAAATTTCCCTTTTCACACCCCAAACCTCCCCCCCCACCCAGATGTAACAGCCAGGTCACAGGCTTGAAACCCAGAGACCTGGGATCTGGTGCCAGCCTGCAGGTCTCCTCTCCCATGCTTCCTGATTTTAGGATGCTCTGATCTGAACAGGCAAGGCTGAGACAGGAGTGTCTACTTCCTTCCAGCCCCTACAGAAGTCCCACAGTTAATACAGACCAGCTTCCAAGGAATATTCCAAGGAGCATGGAAAATGCTTGGGAGTGGATCCCAGGTGAGCCAAGGCTGCAGCCCTAATACTAGCCGTGGCAGTAACGGGGCAAGCATTGGCACTCACCACAACTTACCAAGGCTGTTTCCTCGTGCTTAGGCTTGGGCAGAAAAAGTGTTTCTGCAGTAAGCTGTCGAAAGTATGGTAAACCACTGTTGTGTTAGATCAGCTTCCAGCTCCCCTTCCTCTTGGCCTTCAGATCTTAATTTCAGTCCTTCTAACTGCAGGGAATGCGCTTTCTGTGTGACACCATCACAGAGTGCTGGGACCACGATCCTGAGGCTCGCCTCACCGCCCACTGTGTGGCCGAGCGCTTCAACCTGATGGCACAGATGGATTGTGATGATATCCTCAACAACAACACAGACAACGAGGCCAGCAAAACAGCTTCTCCAGGCGGGGAGCACCAGGACAGTGACGGCAGCAGAAACACGCAGTGACACAGCAGGAAAAAAGCCTCATCATGAGAAACAAGAGGATAAGTGAGAAGCATTTAGCTCATAGGAAAAAACCTTGCTCCATTTTTCAAAATGGAACCAAGATCTAGTACATAACTTATTTATAAGATCTGTTTCCTGCCACAAATAAGTGAACTATGGAATCAATACTTTGGTTAAAGTGCAACCTTATATATGAACTGATTTTGTACCTACTTTAAATGTATAATGATGCAAAGCATTCCTTTTATTATTTTTTAAAATAATAATGTTTAATCTTTTATTAATAAGCTCCAGAATTCTGTGTCTATCTTTTGAAGTCCTTCCATATTGCCATCACAAGTTTCTCTTCTAATTGCTTATTCTGCAGGGATCAAGAGAATCGTCAATTTTCCTTTTTTAATGGTGTCCACACGCAATAAAAAAAAAATTATCTGTTGTAACAGCATAGAAAAAACCATCTCCAGATGTTACACATCCTCAGTAGAAGAAATGCTAGCACCCACGAAAATTACTCATTGATCAGGCAGTCTTAATATGGTGTAATGATGGCAAATCTAGTTAGCAAAAGCCTGATTTGCTGCAACTCCAAGATACCTTTTTTCGCTGGGGAGTTCCTGCATGCATTGTTCAAGTGGGGCATGAAGTTTCTTTGATAGAAAACAAAAACCACTAAGAAGTCTCCATGCAGGACACCTAGACAACTCTTTCCCCATAGAACACTCCACTTTCCAGCCACTGTTAGGCAACAGATCTGTGCCACAGCAATAGTGTCAACACAGATGTGTTGGCTAATTCTTCTTGCAACTCTTACGCACCCCTCTGCTGTGTTACTCAACCCAAAGAGACACAACCAGGCAGAACCTGGAGTTTCAGTCCTGTAACCACCAGACCAAGCCAGGCTGCCTATGCAGTGGAAAGGTAACTAAGGAAAGGTAAGCCATACCTCAGTCGTGAACCCGGGCGCTGTGCATATCTTAAACCTTCCACCCTTGGGAGCAAAAGGTAACAAAAACTTCACCTGCTGCTAAGCCCTGCAAGCCCATACCCAATTCTCACCTAAACAGAGGACAGCATCAGAGAGGAATACTTCGTTTGCCAGTGTGCAGCTGAATGGATCAGCCCTACAAGACAGGGGACCGAAGGCTGTTTTGGTTTTCCAAAATGCCAAATTATGACAGCACCAGCCCATACAAAACACTTTTCTCTGTTTCCTCTTCCTTGGACCATTTCCATAGCTCCTAAGCTATGGGCCTATAACGAAAATGCCTTTAAACCCTTCAAAGAAGGATGGAAGTGGAATGCATTAGGTTGCATCAAATCTAAACAATAAAAACTTAACTTCAGCTACCAGGGATAAGTCTCCACCTGCAACTACGACAGTACCTTTTACTCTCACTAATCCCCCACTTGGCTGATACCTCCTGTCATTTTAGGATTTTTTCCCTTTTCTCTTGCAGTTTATCCTCCCCAGTTCACCATAAACACACCCTTTCCACCCACCTGACTTCAGTCTCATTTCTTTAATGTATTGACCACTGCTCTACTGTATGCATGCCCAAGAGAAACAGACAGTATGGGGCAGGTTTCCTGACATGGAGATAAACTATGGGAACACACCAAAATACACCCGGGCTATCCAGTCTTTCCTTCCCATGCAGAATTTCACCTACCAAGTTTTGCACCAAGTCGTTTGGATAGAACACCAATTAACGTTTACTTGTTCTTCAAAGTTCACTTCAAGAGGCTTTAAAAGGCAGTCTGACCAATTCTTCCCATAGGTCAGCGGGTCAGAAGGGGATCAGCACACACAAACTAGACATTCAAGGCTGAATCTCTGATTCTGATAGCTGAAATGCAAATTATCCTGGAAGACAGACACTTAATACTAGGCTTGATAGTTTATCCTGTCAATATGCTGAAAACTTCTTAGTCTATTTCCCTCCCCATGGCTAAAATCTTGAACATTCAAATTTACATACTACATTTTTTTCTATGAAAACCAAGTCCACAGTCAAGCTTTTAGGATTATACACCTGAACACCTGCGTTAAACAGGAGTGACTTGTCACACTCTCAGTCTTCCATGATCAACAAGGTATGCAGCACCTCTGAAGAAAGCCACTTATTTAACCTCCAAGATCTGTTTTTAACTCAGGGAGTCTAAAACCACTGAGATCAGTAAGAACTTTGCTCTTAGCCTCAGTGGAGCCCAATCAAGCCAAAAAGACAGAAGGGAACATAAGGTGAAATCCTACGTTTGTCACGCTCCTTGTTGAACACACTGGTTCTAGCAAATACCTACATAGGAAGCAGCAGTGAGACATTCCCCTCGCTCCACAAGGCACAAGATGGAAACAACAGCAGTTATGCAAGAGAATCAAATCTGGTCAGAGTTAAAAATACCTCCATTAGTCCACAGCATGCTTTCAACTCTCAAAAAATCACATAAATGTCTTACAATTTAAGGTGGATATCCAGTGGCTAGATTCGTTTTTTTAAAACTGTTTTCAACTACGTCCTTTGTTTCTAGAGGTAACTAGAAGTTTGCATCATAACAAAATCCACATCAGGAATCCATTCCAGTTCTTGTGATAATTTCAGCAAAGGAAGGCTTTAATTTCTTTTTTTCCTAGCAGTACCGCCATGTTAAAAGAAATAGTTTCATGTGTTTTAAAAGACTGCTTCTTCAGTGTTGGGTTTATTTTTACACAACAAAATTAGTAACAGCTTTCTTAGTGTGAAACCACAAGCATACCGTATGAGGGTGGAAGAAAAATAACTTGACTAATAATATTATATAAGGAACACAAATGGGTTTATGGTCAACATGGGAACTTTTCGGTCTTTTACAGCCATCACCTTGACAGATTCGCAAACCAAAATTTTAAGCAGAGCTCAGTGACTGAGTCATAAGTCTTTATTTTAATAAGCACAAGTTTGATCGCTAGAGCATGCTCAGCTGATAAAGGTTTGTCTTCTGAGCTGATCACTACCATATTAAAAGCTGGATGCTGGACCAGAGCCCTTGCTGTTTGTTTAAAGCAAATCTACCATGTGACACAGATAGAACAACTATGAAACATATACAGTGTTGTCAATTTATTTTCTGACCCTCTACCACCCCAGTCTGGTGCAGGTACCAATGAACCATGGAAGTTCACATGTTGTCACCATTATTCCAATTCCAAATGCTAGAATTGGCCAAGGAGTACATCCCAAATGTGCCACAGACCTAGAAACAAGGAGGAACTAATCCCACTAATCCCACTGTTTTCATGGTTATTTTTATTCCCGGTTAAATATGGAAATGCCCAGCATTTCAGACATCCCAGACATCCAGAACTAACACAACAGGATGATTGTATAGAATACTACAAACAAGACAGCAGGGCCCAGAACGTTCTTCTGCTGGAGAATATAGTTACTACTGAAGTGTACAGTGCCAAAATATCCCATCATTAGGGGCCAAGGAAAGCCCAGCCAGATTTCCAGCATAAAAGACAACAACCACCCGCTTCTCCTGGTCACCCAATCTCCAGGAAAGCAGACAGAACAAATGAATCGTTTCATAGTTTTATTACCCCCACCCCCACTTCTCACAAACGGACTATGACTCGCATTGAGATCTCAGTGCATTTTACAGAAAATAAATGTACAAGAGGATCCAAATAGTTGTGCATAAACCCAACTCCTTTTTTGCACAATTTGCAGTTTGTGTTGAAAGTTAAACATGGTTATTTAAACCTTCTGATGCATTCTTGTATCTTCTCCATGACCTTACCAGATAACACATTTGTGAGTTCTCATGATGCCGCATCAGGTGCAGCCATTGCTGAGAAGCGGCAGATAGCGTTATATACACTTACTGGAAGACTACATCAGAAGAAAAAGACAGATTAAGGCACCACTGTTGGAAAAATTAAGGTAGCTTGTAGTTACAACAATAACGAAAGCCATAGTAAGTACTATTCTTAATTGCCAGCAATTCTTAGACTTCAATAAAATATTTATAGAAAAAAAAAAAGGATGCTTGTACCTGAATACAGTTTCCTGATGTCTGATTGTTTCAAGCCAACACCCAGGTCTCAGCATAATCAGCTTTTTTTTTTTTTTTATGGTAAGATAAAAAGCCAGGACCTACATCCATGTATTCACAGGTCACATTTCACTGTTTTCTTCTGAATAACACCACAGGAGAAAAAAACAAAACAATCCAAAGCACAGTTTGTAACACTGATACTTCATCTCCGAGATGATTAGATGGGCAGAGACACTGAAATACAAAACTAAGTTTTCTGTTCATTTTGAAAGCCTTAGTCCTCAGGAAGGGAAGGTGGAGGAGGAAAAAAAAAAAGGCCAAACTTCATTACATTATATTATGAGAAAAACCAAAGTCGCCCGAAGAGATTTAATAAAATTAGGAGTTGAAAAGTGTTCAAATTACTTGTCCAATTCAAGTCAATTATTTCAAGTATATTAAAATGTTTCAGAGGAAAAATTTCTCCATGGTTACAATTCTAATTGTTTTTATAAATCCATAAAAAAGAAAGGGAGTCTCTACATATATCCCATATTCCTCCAATGCATGCACGTGTTTTCTCTGAGGAAAAAAAAAGTCATCACAATCCAGTTGTTTCTTAACACTGATTTCAGGCACATCTTCCAAATACCCCTTCAGTTTTCACCAAAAAGGTTAATCACTGGGCATAAAAGCAGCAATTCTTTTGTTGCTGTTGTCTATATATAGAGCAGGTTTCAGTTATTAAAGAGCTTGATGCAGAGTCTGAAAAAAGTTCCCATGTCACTCCAAAATCCAACAGCTCCTTCTCCTCTGAGGCAGCTTTTGCAGTCAGATCTACTTAGAAGAATCTTATACAATTCAGATAAAATCTCTTGGATGATACAAAAAACAAGAATGTACCTGGTTTGTCTCTACAGCTTCAATATTATTTTACCTTTTTCTTCTTTAATACCTTTAAAGTGCCCTAGTATATTTATTTCTTTATGCTCATTTAAACTTTCACAATTACATAAAAAGGGAACACTCTGTGTGATTACTGTGTTTTGAGAGACAAGAGGAAAAGGAGAGGAACATCAGAAAACTCATCTTAAAGCAGCTTTTCTAATTAATGTCCGTTTGCTGAGTTTGTGCAGCAGAGACTGTTT